GGCCACTGCACTCCAGTCTGGGTGACAGAGTGAGACTCCAACTCAAAAAAAAAAAAAAGAAAGAAAGGCAGATTTATTAAAGATGAAGCAAAGGGCAGCACAGCAGCAAAGGGAGGCTTTCTGCTGTCTGTCCGATTTATTCTATTTTAATGCTTATTGTCTTGAAGTAAATATATACCTTATGATTTGTTAATTTAAATATTAAATAGCACTGATAAATAGAATAATTTTAAAAGTAAATTAAATCACAAAAAATGCACAGTCATAATAAAAATTCAAATAGTAAGGAAAAAAGTTAAAAGTTAAAAAGATAAAAAGTTAGAAGTTTCTTTTCTCACTTCCTTCAAACTTTTTTGCATTCCCCAGAGGTAAACCACCATTAACTTTCTTGTGTTTTGGTTTAGACACATGATATTTCTTTTCTAAAAATTTATTTTGGCAAAAATTCACTATATGTCACTACGTGATATATTGTGATATATGGTGTCTCATAAATACTTAAACATTTACCCTGGATATTGCTCCATGTTGTACCTTTTTTTTTTTTTTGAGTTGGAATCTCACTCTCTCACCCAGGCTGGAGTGTAGCAACACGCTCACAGCCACCCCAGCATCTACCTGCTGGGCTCAGGTGATCCTTCCACCTCAGCCTTCCAAACTGCTGGAACTACAGACACGTGCTACCATGCCCGGCTAATTTTTTGATTTATTGTAGAGGTGAGGTCTTGCCAAGTTGCCCAGGCTGTTCTCGAGCCCATGGGCTCAGGCAATCCCCTCACATTGGCCTCCCAAAGTACTGGGATTACAGGCTTGAGCCACTGTGCCCAGCCCATGTTATACTTTAAGATCAATCAGGCAACCCCTTCAGGTTCCCTCCCACTGTGGAAGCTTTTCTATTCTCTCAATTTAAAAAAAACTGCTTTCTCACTTAAAAAAAAAAAAAAAATGGATCATGCTCATCTGGACAGATTACTATATTATAGTTTATCTAAGTAGTTCTTTATTGATAGGCATGTAGGTTGTTTCCAGTTTTTTTGATATTATATACTGTTGTAACTAACAACTTTGTATATTTTTGCCTATTTTTGAATCTAAGAATAATCTAAGAGAAAAAAAGGTAGAGTTGCACAGGGTATATGCATAATTACTTTTCATGGATACTGCAAAGTTACTTGTCAAAAGGTTACACCAATTTATACTTTTACCAATTATATCTGAGGAGTGTCTGTTTCTGCACATTTTGGCAATATTTTGTGTTTCCTAATTTTTAATCTTTATCTGATTAGTTTAAATGGTATTTTAGTTTAGTTGAATTCAATTAGTTTAATATTAAGTTTTACTGTTCACATTATTGATCTTTGCATATTTTATTGTTATTGCTGCTGTTTTATGATTTCAGTTTAATTACGTCTTATATCTTGTGGTTATTTTAAGAAAAAATGGCATGATTGTCCAGCTAGTGCAAAATAACTAAACTCAGAACAACCATTATTTCAGAAAAATAGAAAGGAATACTTTCTTGTTGGAATTATAGGCCAAACTTATAGTTGTAAGCAAAGAGAAAAGCAATTGGAGTTGCTGCTTATGGCTTAGTTGCCTATAATCTTAGTTCTGTATTCTTGGCTGTATCCATCTGGAACAGAGTTTCCATCTTATTGAACTGGGAGGAAGAAGGCAGAGAGTGGGTCTTGGTTCAAATACCATAGACATTGGTGTTTTCACCAAATATTAGTAGATTTTCTGAAATAAAAGTTTTGTTTTGTTTTGGTTGCTATATGCCCTTAGGACCATTCCAGAGACACTATAATTTTTATTTTTTTTTTTAGAGACACTATTTTTTTTTTAAGAGCCTGTTGCCCAGGCTGGAATGCAGTGACCTGATCATAGCTCACTATAGCCTCAAATTCCTGGCCTTAAGTGATTCTCCTGCCTCAGCCTCCCAAAAACATGGGCCCACAGGCACGTGCCACATGGCTAATTATTTTATTTTTTGTAGAGACATGGTCTCGCTTTGTTGCCCAGGCTGGTCTCACACTTCAGGCCTCAAGCAATCCTCTCAGCCTCCCAAAGTGCTGGGATTACAGGCATGAGCCACTGTGCCTGACTTCCAAAGACTTTAAATGGTTGCTTTTTGAAATGCAGTATTACTTTTCAATGGGTTGTATTCATTAATTACATGGTTAAAAATGTATTGTAAAAGAAACATTATCCTATACCATTTTCAGTTGATTTTATTTATTGTATGAATGCACAATAATACTGAAAATAGCATTTGCGGTCAATTACTGTGTGTCAGTGGGTATGTCACTAAGTTTTTACATATGGTATCTCATTTAATCCTCATTTCGATCCTTTGAGGTAGAGCCAACAATTACTTCCACTATAGACTCCAACTCAAAAAAAAAAAAAAAGAAGGAAGCTGAGGCATAGAGTATTTAAGTATTTTGGCCATGGTCTGGCTCTAGAGTCTGAGCTTTTAATTTTAACTATAATACACTTAACCAATTCTCTTGTTGAACATACTGATTTTTCAAAGTTTGTTATAAATAGCACTGAAATAAACATCCTCATAGCTCTCTCTACTCGTATTTTTCCTTCTTAAAACATTTTCTGTGGGGGGGAGGTCGTCATAAATGTACAGTGGTTTAAAGTTATCCTGTGAAAATTAAGTTTCGCCTCAAACCAGTTCCCTTCCTACAGGTTACCAGTATTAATATTTTCTTGTGTGTCTTACCAGTCAGTCTCTGAATATGTATCTATACTGCTATCCTCTTTTTAGAACATAAATAGTCGCATATTCTAACATATTCCCTGTGCCTTGTTGCTTTCCCCTAATATTTCTTGGTGAATTATCCAACATCACAGCATATAGATCCATAGCAGTAGCAGCAGCTTTTCTTCCCCATCACACCACCCACTAGACTTCTTTGTAATAGGTGCATAGTGAAAGGACAGACCTGAAAGGACAGACTGAGAGTGGGAAGCCATTTTTCATCTTGTTCTTAAACCCTGACACAATGATGAGAAAGTAGAAGCTATGCTTTTGGAAAAATGCACACTTTAGGTAAAATTAACTTTACCAACTTAGTCTTTTCAGAAACAGACTTCCAGGTATCAGAGGTATCTCATAGCGGCAATCAAACTTGCCTAGAATAAAGGGAATTTACAAGATCTAAGACATGTGCATTGGGCAAGGATTGTAAGAGTCATGAAACTTGTAATTACAAAAGTTATAACTGTTCAGAGGGAGAGCAGATAGGGAGAGCAGATAGAGATTCGATCTTCCAGTAAATTGTGCACTATCTACGGTGAAGTCAAGGATTCCCTGAAGCTATCCACTGTGAATGCTTTGGAGATTAGGGGTGGGTGCATCCTACACTAGCTCTAAGGAATGTTGTTTAGGAAGGTGCAGGAGAATTAGAATCCTTGTTACGCCCTTCTCTAGGGGCTATGATAATGTGGGTGGACATTAATGGGTCTCTGTGTCACAGGATCTCCAAGACATACACAGGTGGTCGATAAAGAAGTCATGGCAGTCACGTGCAACATCTCCAAGAAAAGGATTTAAGCCACGGCTTTGGGGGGCTACGACACCACACTCACCTAGAGTGTAGGCCCACTTCCTGTCTACAGGGGGTGAACTTTTCTTAAATAAATCTTTTCTTCTCTCACCTCTGTGTGTTGCAGTTCTTTGCAATTCACTCAGATCTCTGAGTTCCCAGCGCGGCACCTCCGGCTTGCCAGCTCTGGCGGTGCTGCCCCTCTCTGCTGCGCCTCTCCTCTCCTCTCCCTCTCCATCCATCCACCCTCACCCTGTCCATACCCTAACACATAGTACACCATTTTGTAGATGTACCATATGAATGAGGAAGCACTGCACAAATTAAGTTGTTTATTTTTTGTATTTTTTTAAAATTGTAAGACTTAAAAATATTGCTATAAATTGCCGAAGAGCTATTTGAAGGGAGGGAACTGAAGTTCTGGACAGGAGGAGCAAAGGAGGAAGGGCTATATTTGCTTTCTTTGTGTGGACTACTAGAAAGTTTAAATGTCTCTAAAGTTGATCTGATCCATATGTTGCCTATGTGTTTCTCTTTTGTACTGAATATACTGGTTTTAATTGATGTTTTTAAAAAGTGAGGCTTTTTGGGAAGTTGTTATAGTCAATATTAAGTATTTAGAAATGAGGATGAACCTTTTTTTAAGTCTAATATTTTCACTTAATCAACTCACTGAAAAAATATTAAAGCATCTATTATTTTCCAGACATAAAACCTATATATTTTTTAATAGTTTTTTAAAAAAAAGTTTTAATTGTAGTGGTTAATACTGCAAGTTTGATACAAAGAATTGCACAGAAATTAGATTGGGAAAGATAGTTTACTAGTACATTTAGAGAGAGAGAGAGGGTGGAACCATCTCTCCAAAATTGGAGATGAGGCCAGAGTGTAAAGAAAGCAATGGCAGTAAGTGCTTGAGGTTGAATGCTTTTAAAGCTTCCCTTTGGTGGGGCAGGTCACCATGGTGATGGGGTGGTGATCTGTTTCACATCATTATGAAGGAGGCAGGTAAGCACAGGAACTGTTGCAATGGTGATGAGGTGGTGGTCTGTGTCACAATAGATTAGGTCAGCTTGGCCCTTTATGGCAAGAAAAGACATACTTTGGATATAAAGGTAATCAGTAGAAAGCATGCTTGGAGATGGGGAAAATCTCTGATATTTTTAAAAGGTTGTACAAAGCAATCATCAATGACTACCTCTGGTAAACTGGTTTTGTCCCCTGATAATGATTAGAGGGCAAGTTAAAATAAAATGACAAAAGAGCATGACAAAGCTTAAAATGGCCATTCTTTGGCTAAAGTTACTCCATTTTAGCATTTCACCCTTTCAGTGGTAAAAAAAAAAGTGTAACTCAAAATTTCATATTTTAGCCATTTTTAAGTGTACAATTCAGTACTGTTAAGTATATTCACATTGTTGTGCAACAGATCTCCAGAACTTTTTTATCTTGCAAAACAAAAACTCTATACTCATTAAAAATCTCCTCATTTTCCCCTCCCCCTGGCCACTGGCGACCTCCATTCTAATTTCTCTTTCTGTGAATTTGACTATGTTAGTTTCCTTAAGCAAGCGGAATCCTGCAGTATTTGTCTTTTTTGTCATTAATTTATTTCACAGCATAATATTCTCAAAGTTTATGTTGTAGCATGTGACAGGATTTTTCCTTTTAAGGCTGAGTGATGTCCCATATTGTGTGCATAATTCTCATTTTGTTTATTATTTCAACCATTGATGGATGCTTGGTTTTCTTCAACTCTTACCTATTGTGAATAATGCTGTTGTGAACTTGGGTATGCAAATATCTTTTTGAAGTCCTGCTGTCAGTTCTGTTGTATATATGCCCAGAAGTGGGATAGCTGTATCATGTAGTAATTCTATTTTTAACTTTTTGAAGAAAAAAAATCTATGAATTTTGAGCGTCTCAAGGTCTAATTTTTCTTTTAATCTAATCCTTTAGACTGTTTTGGTCTTGCTGAGGGGAATGTAATGAGGTTACATATAAATAATATACTTTTTGGAAACATGCTGATCATTATTTGAATTGTGGCTCAGCTCTTCTGACCTTGGCCAGATTATTTAACCTCTCTGTGAACTTCAGCTTCCTCATCTGCAAAACAGAACAGTGAAAATATAGTACATTGTATTATTTTTTTGTGAAGATTCAGGATAATGATTATGGTATGAACCAAGCTGCCAGTAAAATTTGTCTGTCATTACCACCCTTCTGACTTCAGTCATTTGACTGAATAAAGTATTATCTGCTAATGATTGAAGTATTACCAGCTGATATGGATTCTTTTTCATGGTAGATATCCCAGAAGAGGAAGCCAGATATTGGACCTACAAACTGGAGCAAATCAATGCTTTGGGAGCTGACAATGAGGTAGGAACTGCCTTATTTGCAATACAGGAAGATGGAGAAAATCTCTGATATTTTTAAAAGGTTGTCCAGGGAGAAGCCTAAGAGCATGTTTTCCTGAAGGATGAAATAATTTAAATTGCATTAAAGAAAAAAGGCAGCTAGAAGATTGCCTGGAATTTTACTGGAAAGCTCCATCTCCCACTTAGCCTATTTCTCCTACTGTCCCCAGACTGTGGCACTTGTCTGGCCCTAGAGTTTGGGGACAGAGCTTGTATCAGGGAATCTGTCCTTTTTTGTTACACACTTGAGCTGGAGGCATTTCTTCTGCTCCCTCCCAGATTTTTTGATATTATCCTTATTTGTGTTTTCTTCTGGGGAATGCATTGCCTTGTTTGGTCTTGCTGTCCTAATATCTCCAGAGATGAATCTGGTGCTTACAAGAGAATACAATCAGCTCAACGTGGGCAGGCACATCAGGAATGGACAATGTTTTTGTTATTTGTGGTGGAAGGAAAATATGATTAGTTTGTTTACTTGGATCTGTTGGGCCATTAAAAAATGGGTCTGATTATAAGGTAGACTTTGAATGCCAGAGGATATTTCAGTGGTAATGTTTGGTAAAAAAAATAATTGTATGAGAGAATCTGAAGCTTGGATTTGGGTGTGGTAGGGAGCTGTAAACATAGAGTTTGGATTCATCAACATATTGGTAGCATTTGAGGTCACAGGAATGGAACACTTGCTCAGGTAGAGCATGTAGAGAGAATATTGAAGCATAGGACAAAACCTTGGGAAACAGTACAGATAGAGTTCTGGGAGACAAAAGAGACTGAGAAAGAGCTGCTTCAAAGAAAGAAGAATCAGGAAAGGCTCATGGAACAAAGAAAAAAAGTGATTCAAGGTGAAATTTCTCAGTAGTGTCACATGTTCAAACAAGGTGAATTCTGAAATAGCGTCACTGGATTTGACTATTGACAACCAATATCCATCCATAGACTAGTACAGAAAGCCAAAATGGAGTGATGATTAGTGTATTAGTTTCCTAGAACTGCTATAACAAAGTACCACAAACTGGGTGACTTACCACAACCGGAATTTATTTTCTCACAGTTCTGGAGGCTAGAAGTCTGAAATCAAAGTGTTGGCAGGATCACTTCTCTAAAGGCTCTGAAGGAGAAACCATCCTATTCCTTTCTCCTAGCTCTGATGGTTGCTGGGAGTCCTTGCTGGTCCTTGGCTTGTCAGTGCATTATTTCAAATCTCTGCCTGTGTGGTCAAATGCCTCCCTGTGTCTCCCTGTGTGTCTTCACAATACATTTTCCTGTCTCTGTGTGTCTGTGTCCAAATTTCCATTTTTCTTATAAGGACACCAGTCATTGGATTAATTTGATTAAGTCTGCAAAGACCCTGTTTCCAAATAAGGTCACCTTTGCAGATACTTAGAATTTCAGCATATTGTTTGGGGGGGCACATAATTCAGCCAATAGTGAGTTAAATGAAATATAAATAAATAGAATTTGGGAAAAGTGACAATTAACAATTGCCTTTCTCAGGGTTTACCCTTACCTCAACTCAATCATCAGTAGAATTTCCATTATCAAGCTGCATAGCTGTTTTCATGCCCAAGCCAACACCCAGCTTTTCTTCTTTGTTGAAAGCTCCAGTCCTATCCACTTGATAACAACCAGTGTTTGCACTATCCTTGCATCTGCTTTATTACCCTTTGTGTTTTTGTTCTTTGAAAGTTTGGCTGTGGAGTGGTATACAGCCTTTGAAACTCGTTTTGTCTTTGTTTTCCTAGTAAATAAACACATTGTACTTTTGATTTGTGTGTGCTTTACTGTATGTCATTATGCAGAATTAGATGATGAGATTACAACAACACAAAATACAACTTATACAAATACTGCAGTTTCACAAGTTCTAATAATAATGGTTGTTGGTCTGAGGTTCCCAACTCACTATGAGATTTTTACTTTTTTATTCTAGGATATGAAACTCGGTCATTAAGTTTATATCTTTTATTTCTTCTTCTACCACCCAGTTTTTCTTTTTTAAAAAATTTATTTATAGCCGGGCTTGGTGGCTCAGTCTGTAATCCCGCGCCTTTGGGAGGCTGAGGTGAGTGGATTGCCTGAGCCCGTGGGTTCGAGACCTGCCTGGGCAACTTGGCAAGACCTCATCTCTACAATAAATCAAAATGAGCCGGGTGTGGTAGTGCGCACCTGTAGTTCCAGCTACTTGGAAGGCTGAGGCGAAAGGATCGCCGGAGCCCAACAGGTTGAGGCTGTGGTGGCCGGGAGCAGCCACTGCACTCCAGTGTGGGTGACAGAGTGAGACGCCAACTCAAAAAAAAACCAAAAAATTTATTTATTTATTGTAGAATTGTGGGGTACAAGTGAGGATTAATACATAAGTAGACTGCATTGCAGGTAAAGTTTGAGCTTCTAACTAGCCCTAACTCCCCCTGGTAGTGGACCAGTAACCTTTGTGTTGTCACATGTTCCTCTCTCTGTCTCCCTTCCCCCTCCCTTCCTTCCCTAGCAGTGCCCAGCGACTACCAATCCCTAATGTGACTAGTGTTCAGGGTCCACTGAACATGAGTCCCACAGAGTGAGAACATGCTGTATTCAGTTCTTTGTTTCTGTGATAGTTCACTTAGTATTATGGTCTCCAACTCCATCCAAGTTGCTGCCAAGCTATGATTTTGTTCTTTATGGCTGTGTAATACTCCGTTGTGTGTATTATGTACCACATTTTTTTTATCCGGTCCACTTTCAGTGGGCAGCAGAGTTGGTTCCATGTTTTTGCTATTGTGAATAGTGCAGCAATAAATGTGTGTGCAGGTGTCTTTTTGGTAGAGTGATTTATGTTCCTCTAGGTATATTCCCAGGAGAGGGATTGCTGGATCATACGGAAAATCAATTTTCAATTCTTTTAAGAATTGCCACGCTGCTTTCCATAGAGGTTGAACTAGCTTATATTTTCCCACCGAGAGTGTAGAAGCATTCCCTTTTCTCTGCACCAGTGCAGCACCTGTTGTTTTTTGGACTTATTAATGATAACCATCCTTACTGGAGTAAGTTGGTATCTCATTGTAGTTTTGATTTGCATTTCTCTGATGATTAATGAGGCTGAGCATTTTTTCATCTGTCTGTTGGCCACTTGTATGTCCTCTTTTGAGAAATGTCTGTTCATGTCCTTTGCTCACTTTTTCTTTGTTTTGGTGTCAGAGTCTTACTCTGTTGCCCAGGCTGGCACACTCATGACCACCACAGCCTAGACCTGCTGGGCTCAGGTGGTTCTTCCACCTCAGCCTTCCATGTAGTTAGATCCACAGGTGAGCGCCACCACACCTGGCTAATTTTTTAATTTTATTGTAGAGACGAGGTCTCACCAAGTGGCTCAGGCTGGTCTTGAACCCCTAGGCTCAGGCATTCCTCTTGTTTCTGCCTCCCTAATTAGGTACTAGGATTACAGGTATAAGCCACCATGCCCGGCTCTTTGCCCACTTTTTAATGAGGTTGTTTGTTTGTTTTTTCCTTTCAGTTCATTTGAGTTCCTTGTAAATCTTGGATGTTTGTCAGATGCATAATTTGCAAATATTTTTTCCCATTCTGAGGGTTGTCTCTTTATTCTCATGATGGTTTCTTTTTCTGTGCAAAAGATTTCAGTTTGATGAAGTCCTACTTGTCTGTCTTAGCTTTTATGGCATTCGCTTTTGGGGACTTGGTCAATAATTTATTGCCTACTCCAATGTGCATAAGGGGATTTCCTAAGTTTTCCTCTAGAATTTTTTTTTTGAGTTGGAGTCTCACTCCGTCGCCCAGGCTGGAATGCAGTAGCACACTCACAACCACCCCAGTGTTGACCTGCTGGGCTCTGGCAATCCTTCTGCCTCAACCTTCCAAGTAGCCAGAACTACAAACGCGCTACCATGCCCGGCTAATTTTGTTTTGATGTGTTGTAGAGATGAAGTCTCGCTAAGTTGCCTGGGCTGGTCTTGAGCCCGTGGGCTCAGGCAATCCACTCACCTTGGCCTCCCAAAGTGCTGGGATTACAGGCTGAGCCACCAAGCCGGGCCTCTAGAATTCTTATAGTCTGAGGTTTTATGTTTAGTTCTTTGATCTATTTACAGTTGATTTTTGTGAATAGTGGTAGGTAGAGTCCAGTTTCGTTCATTTGCATTTGGTCAACCGATTTTCCCATCACCATTTGCTAAATATGCTTTCCTTTTTTTTTTTTATTGCTGCCCACTCAGACTTCATTTAAAGACCAGGAGGTGTAGGTACAGGGAAGGGAGGAGGACCTGGGAGAGGCCACGCAGGCTCCAGCTTAATAGTATTTGGAGGTCAGCATAGTAGTCACAGAAGTCAGAAACTTTTCCAGGGAGGCATACACAGCAGGGGTGAAGTTTGCAGGGTGGTGGCTGGCCAGGGTCACCAGCAGGCAGTACTCAGGAGCTTCAAGTTGATCAGGTCTACCTGCAGCTTGTATGTGTGCAGGTCGCTCAGAGCGGACAGGGCATTGAGTATGTCATCCATATGCCCCATGACATTGGTCAGCGTTTTGGCCACCTTCTTGCTGTGGCCCTTGATCTGGCCAGAGCTGTGACTCAGGTCGAAGTGGGGAAAGTAGGTCTTTGGTGGGGTAGGACAGGAACATCCTCTCAAGGGCCTCTGCACCATAGTCGCCAGCATGGCCGCCACCCTTGTCCCAGGTGGCCTTGACATTGGTCTTGTCAGCGGGAGACAGCACTGTAGTGGTTCTTTCTGAGTCTATGTGGACCAGAGGTGTTAAGTATGGTCTTCTTTCCCCAGTGATTATTATTGGTGGCTTTGTCGAAGATGAGTTGGTCGTGAGACTGCGTTTTTGCTTCCAGAATCTCTGTCCTGTTCCATTTGTCTATGTGCTTATTCTTGTACCAATATCAGGCTGTTTTGATTGCTGTAGCCTTGTAATAAAGTTTAAAGTCTGGAAGTGTGATACCTCCTGCTTTGTTCCTTTTGCTGAGGATTGTT